GGAAAGAGCAGAAAGAAGTACAGGGGAAGGGCTTCTCTTTCTTCCCATAAGACTTACAGTGTCAAAGGAGAAAACTATGCAGAACAGGCAAGACTGTATCTCCTGTACATAGTTACAAACCATCTAGTCTTGTACATATGGAAGGAGATGCTTCTAGACCAAGGATGCAGGGAATGTTTTGGAGCTTCTTTATGGAATCATTTTTAGAAAACATAAATTCTGGTATGTTGGTTAATGCTCCCAGGTGATCTGACCAATGCCAAATAAAATATCCTACTTGATACTTGCTTTCATGTGTCCTACAGATTTTACAGTTTATATTGTTGGGTTAAGTTGTACCATAACTGGAATAACCACATTTGAAGGAAACACTCATAAAGTATTAAAAACACTGTATTGTCTGACTTGCAGTTTAGAATAGAACCTAAAGCTAAACCTGAAACCTGGGATTCACTGCACACTAGCACAGAGATCCAAGTTAAAAGTCTCTTCCTAGGTTAAGATTGTGGTAAGAGGACAGATTCTGCAATGGAAAGATATAAAATATTAAAGTATTAAAGGTGTAGTGTTGTTAATACTTTTGTTGCTGAGCAAGTACTGAGGCAGTCTCCAGACTCTACTTGCTTGAGGACACTGAAGCATCTATGCACATCTTTCAGAAGTAAGGCTGGAGCTCTGCCCATGACCTGTCCTGATGGCTGCCAGGCCTGGGGTCACCTGGACCTTCCTCCTCCCACCAATCTGGCAGGGCCCCTCCCAGCCAACCTGGCCCTCTTTAAAACCACCCCTTCCTGTAACATAAAGCCTCTCTTAGCTGGAGGTGAGGGCTGGTAATGGTTGAGTTCTGCTGCTTCATAACAATACTAGTTGCTTACTCCAGTGTAAGCTGTTTAGCTCTTCAGGCAAAAGCTCAGCAATGTGTTCTTTATTGGAGCTGCCACCCATGGTCCTCAATGCTGCTGTGGTGCTCAGTGCTGATGAAGGACTTCTCTGCCTGAGAATATTCTGCTGGAAAACAGGTTAGTCCCTTTCTTGATTTATTCAGAGGAATAATTTGTCTGAGAGAGCAGTGTATGATTAGCTTTTTTAGAATTGTTAACCCTTTTTGTAGAGCTGGTAAGCAAGCACTGAGTGCAGCTCAAAGGCATGGCAAGGCTTTATGACTGTGTTTAAACATTTGAATACTGAAGCTTATCATCCACACCTGCCAATGTCTTTCCTGGCAATGCTGTTCAAATATTATCAAATAATGTGTTCAGAAATCAGTGTACTTGTGACTTGTGTATTTTGAAAGTCATCTTGAAGACTACTAAGCTTCTTGGAAAATACATGTTTTGTGGTAGAGTCCAACTTAAAAATGTTCCTTGTGGTAGGTTCCAAACAGTAAAAGCTGTCTCAGAAAAGAGATGTTTTGTGGTCGGATGACTAGATTATTAAGCTGCACAAGTAAACCAGCAGTTCTGATTGACTTTGCAGCCAAGCTTGTTTTCTCTCTTTAGAAAAAAGCTAAAGCAGATGGGTATTGCTATGTCTGTTGCTTAAGGACAAAACTTCAGTTTCTAGTTTTAACTTCTGTGATCTTCAGTTGGTTTCTGAGGACAGTTTATCATTGGGCCACGTGGCCTCCTCATATATAAACACTGCTATGTTTCTAGAAACACATCAAGGTGTATCTGAAAGACCTTTTTGAATCAACAGATTGTAACCTAGTAACAAGTCTATTGTGGCAGTACTATTTGTATTAAACTACACAAGTGAAATAACTTATCTCACAGATTCTGGTGATGTGTTGTGGGAACGACTTGATGTGCCCCTGCTGAGCTGCTGCCTTAGTTACTGCATCGCCAGTAATGTGCTCTTGTCAGCAGGAGCAATTTCCCCCAGCAGGATCCACTTGCACAGACAGAATCTGAACGAGGTAGTTAGTGACTAGCTGAAGGATTTCTGATTTTGGACACAGAGAAAAAGGCCAGACTTCACACTCTGTTTTCTCACAAAGATTCTATTACTTTTGTGCTAATTTAGAGGTGGTGCTAGCACATGTCACAAGTGAAGAGAAAAATGTTTGTAGAAGGGAGACTACAGAACTGGCATTAGGAAAAGAGAAGGAATTGAAGCTTAAAGATCTAAGCATTCCACAGAAAAATTTCAATACTCTATCCAATTTCAATTAACATTAAAAAAATGACAATTGATTTTTATCATCTTAAGGAACTAAGAGAGGTTTTTGTTACCTCCTTTGCATATATTTTAAATCGAGAACCAGCCATTATAAGAGTTTCAAAGAAATACCTGTGCTGAATGGTGCATTTTTATGTAAGAGCAATTTGGAGTGCATGCTGCTTCCTGCTTTTAACTTCCCAGGGAAGACTCTGGCAATAATGCATCTTTAAGTAACAGGCATTGATTTTGCTGTCTCCTGGTGGTGGCAGTTTATTGCTAAAAAGCCATAACTCTGCCAATTAGGACAGAGAAACTGGTTGGTTGAGAATGTTTGGACTGTTTGGCACTTTTCAGTACTTACACTTGGTAAGTTTGGGAACTGTCAGTAATAGCTATTTAATATTTCTGCCCCACAACTGCCTAGGACACCTGGGGTAATGCAGCAAGCTTTTTAAATACCCTTTATTTATACTTGTGTTTCCCCAAATTCTATCAAAGGCATCCCATAATACTCAGATTGAATTCCACTAAGGCATTCCTAAGATACAGGTTTTCTAAATTATCTGTCACCTTAGCTGTTTCAGACTGCTGTAAGGGTGAGATGTTTTAAGGACAAAAAACTCCAGGACGTGGACTTTTTAGAGCCAAAGAGCACCATGCTGATGGCAAGAGAAGGGAATAAACCTCAAATATTTTTGTCAATACTGAGCTCTACTAGTATAGGTAAACAACAGTAGCAGCATTGATGTGTGCAAAGCTGCTAGAGAACAAACTGAGACAAAAAGGAAGACTTTGATAGTGATGTTTTATCTGTCTCTGTTCATACTGAAAAAGTGTGAGGGCTTAGCCTACTTGAAGGTTGTGAAATGAGACCAGCACTGCAGAAGCTCACAGGTCCCTACCAGGGGAGTTTGTGTGAGCATGACTGGTTAGGTCCTCAAATGTATAACACTGATAGGGAAGTATGATTGAGAAACGAGAAGCAACAGGATTCATGTGTTTATGGCATCCACAGGCAGCATTGTTAACAAGTAGATGTCACTCTAAGGTCCTCCTCCTTAATGGTGCTAACAGCAAATCCCATTTTCTTCAAAAGGGTAGAGTGAAAGGTGTTGATGCTGCTAAATACTTGAGCTTTTATTGTTGGCAAATAGATCTGTTTGAATAGGGTAGGAGAGGATAAGCATACTAAGGAGTCTACAGCCTGGAATCAAGTAGGTAAGACAGGAAGAACAAAGGGCTGGTTAGACAGTGAGTGCTCAAGTGATGAATCCCATCTCTAGTCCCCACCCATCAGAAGTCAATGCCAGTATTTCATACAAGGATGACTCGGGATGAAAAGAGTAAACTCTGCCCTATATGAGGTTCCAAAGAGAAGCAATTATGTAATTGAGTTGCTTGTTAGTGCAAAAGGCATCTTCCATGGGCATAATTTCAGCAGCAGGATGGGCCTGGGACTGCCCCTTACCATACTGCTTTGAGGGACAGCAGCAGGACAGGTTGTGTTGCAGCGACTGCTGGGGAGACAAGTTTTTTTTTGTTGTTCAAATTTTGGTTTAGACCAGGCCCTTGTTTGTATTTGGTGCAGCATAAGCACTCATCTGCAACAGGAGATTACTGATTTTTCATCTAGTAAACCTGTTCCCAGGTTGATTATCCATGTGCCAAATCAATAATGTTCTAGCTGAACTTGAAGCTATGCAAATGTAATAGCATTTGAGAAAGGAAAAAAACTTCAAGTCAACAGCAAGTCCTTTTGCACAGAGGAACATGACATCCATTTAAAATGTCTGGTCATACTGAATCCTAGTATCAGTTTAATTTAGTTCTTCTGCCTCCTTACTCCACCCAAAGATATAACTAAGTCAGTTAATTCATGTTTATTTTACAACAAAAACTGTGATATTTCAGGAGAATCACAACAATAGGATGTCTGACTATATTTGACTTCTCTGCATAAAGCTGAAATATATAAAATGAAATTATAAGCAAAAAAACCCCCCCATTTATTCATGTCAGATACATTAACAATTGGCTCAGTCCAAGATGACTAAGATGTCAAATGGGGGATGTCAAATGCTGTTACATTTTAATTGTGTCATAAAATGCACCAAATATTAAATTTCAACTTCAGAGATGTAATGCCTTTCTTAAATACTGTAAGCATTCAAAACCTGCAAGAAATAAAAGTTGTGCTAAGCAGTGAGTTAGAGCAGATCTACACTCTAAATATATTCTGGGTTCCCCTCAGGCTCGTATAGTGCAAATCCTCTTCTGCACTTCCCTAGAGGTGTTTACAAATAAAGGCTCATACAAGCAAGCTCATATATCCCCAAAGTCTTCAACAGTGAGCATGTATATTTAAGACTGACCCACACTGAAAGTAAAACGAGATGTTTACTTTGTTCTCCCACTTTCTGTAGATCATTGGGACTTTCCTAGAAGTGACTACTGTTCTCTAGTGATTAATTGCTGAAAGCACACATAGCAACTGAACCACTTAAAACTGCATTTGTCCACTGGTTATTTAACATTTGGTATGCAAGTCAATTGCTAGCATGTATCACGGGCTAAGAATTAACTATATAGTTTTAAAGATATGTGAAAATGTATTGTGTATCAGTTACTGTCTCCTGACCTGAAATTTTATGCAGCAGTATTACCTCCTATGGGACGGAAGAGAGGAGCAGAAACATTTAAAAAAGCTGAGGACAGCACAGTATGTGCATAAAAGCACAAAATGCACATTCCTGTTTGCTTATTGTTGTATCTTGGTTTAACTTGAAAGCATTTAAATCTACATTCATGAAAAGAACTGGGGCAAGAAAGTGTTCCATATGCAGTATGTGTGCTTCATCCCTCTCCCTGTGGCAGTTTGTGATGCACACTTACAATAACTGAAATATTTTAGCAAGATGACAAAAGATGTTCTGAGGAAACTCCCTACAAACAGTAACTTTGGGATGCAAATGTACTGAAAATGGCTTTGGATTTTTCTCCTTTCACTATTAAGAACTTTATTGTAATTAAAATGATGACTACCTCAGTTTCACAAATGAGACACAGGTTCATGTAGACAATATACTAATACACAATATTGTCACTAGAAAATAAACTAATGCATCCCTTAGACATGTTATAGTAAATATTTAAAGAAATTAATGCCCCAGAAAAGGATAAAATCTTCTGCAATTCATTTAAATTATTTGAGGTCAAATATTAATGTTAAAAGTCCAGCCACACCTCATGTTAAGGACATTTAAGGACCTATTAATGGGTCCTTAATGGAAAAAAAGACTTTAGCTATTTTAATGCTGACCCTAGTTCTCATTTATCTAATGTTACTGCAGAATAAAAATAATATAAATAAACTTGGTTTTGCTCCATGCATTTGCATTACCTTGTTTTATTTAGAATTGTCTCTTCTCTGCAAAACCTCCTTCCTAATTCTCTACCTAATATTGACTACATTAGCACCTTATTCTAAATATACAATGTGATTACCCAGCTGTGAATGCAACACAGTAAAAAAATGTTGCTCTCTAATTCAGTTTGGAATAAATAACATAACATTTGCATAATGCCTCTGACAGTCTGATTAAACAGAGACCCTCATACCTGCTCTTGTGGCCACTTCTGCCTGTCCTCTGGAGTTCTTGACTTGGCTTTAAAGCCTCTAGGCACCTCTCCACTGAGCTTAGAGGCAGATGGGATGTTCAGTGACTTTGGCCTCCCCTCATGCCTGTTAGTGTTGTGAACAGCTTCACCCTTTGAACAAGTCTCTTTATAGTCATGTGCCATGTTTTCAGTCCCAGTGTGCTCTGGACTCATTTCTGTTGTACTATTAATACTGCTCATGCTCATACTCATTTTGATTTCTGCTACAATCTGGTCAATGTCCTCTTCCTGCTCTTCCAGCTCTGCATCCTCTTTTCTAGAGTGGTATGGTGATATTCCCTGTGAGTTTCCATTAGCCTCTGCTTGGTAATAGTCCGGATAGCCACCTTCACTTGGACAATACTGTATGTTTTCTTCTTGGTCTTGAATCTCCAAAGATGACACTTCATCCTCCAAAATCTGAACACTATTATCTTGACCTTCCTGCCACTCTTGCCTCTCCATCACCTCATTTTCATCTTGGTGCTGAATTTTACCTTCAGCCCATTCTTCTACAGCTTCCTGACATTCATCTGTTTCAACATGGTGCTCCTCATGGGGAGCATACTCCTCCCCATTGCAGTCCATTCCTTCCAGGTAACTGTCATCCTCTGGACAGTATCTAATGTAGTATGTGATCCCCTCCTCTTCCTCTGGTAAGCCTTCATCATAGTCCTCCTCCTCAGAGGTGTTATTCACATAGTCAGAGCTGGAGTCACCATCTCCACTATGATCATTGCACTCATGTTCCACAGGTGTAGGACTGCCTTGTCTGACAGTTGCTAGCTCTGCCTCCTTTGCTGCATAATCTTCAATAGGAAGGTCACTTTCTTCATTTTCAGGCTCCCTGATGTGAGCTGAAGTAGGACAAGCTCTAACTCTGTGATCCAGCATGCTGGCTGTGGTGCTTTGACGTTTCCTGTTTGCCATAGCCACCTCCTTATATGACAATCATTTCTAAGCAATTACTGTAGGGAAGATGGAAAAACACATTCAGGAAAAGGTCATCAGTAGAGAACAGTGATGTTAACAGGAAAAGAACTTGATAGATTTATCTGGCAAAAAGGATATTTTTGTAGATTCACAGACAACTAAATTTTAAATGCTCATGTCATGGAACCAAAAATCAAAGTAATAACTTGCACACTGAAAGGAACAGATAGAGAAGGTTCTATATTTATGCTAAATGCATTTTAGTGTAGGATCTCCTCTGTCAATTTGACAGAGAATTAATCCTGAACCTTGAAATTAGTTTTCAATTTCTTTTTCTTGCCAGGAAGAGGTCATGCTTTGATTGCTATGCAGCAAACAGGAGCTCTTTTCCAGCTTAGGCATTTTTCTAATATGCACTGAAAGCACACATTTAGAATCTGACCTGCTCTTACCAAAACTAAAGGAAAACAATTCCATCTACTTGGCAGTCACAGAGGACACTAAAGGATAATTCAGTGTATTTAAAAATTTATTTAAAATATCACTCACTGGCTTATTAGCTCTTACTAGCTGGATGCCAGTATCTCCCATTGTTAAACCAAATATTGGTTTTAGAATAGAATAGACTATTTCAGTTGGAAAAGATCTGTAATAACCATCTAGTCCAACTGCCTGACCAATTCAGGGCTGACCATCTTAAAGCATGTTATTAGTGGCATTGTTAAACACCCACAGGCTTGGAGCATTATCCACCTTTCTAGGAAGCCTGTTCCAGTGTTTGACCACCCTCTCAGTAAAGAAATACTTCACATCTAGTCAAAACCTCACCTGGTACAGCTTTGAACCATTCTTGCACATCTGATCACTGGGTGCCAGGGAAAGCTCAGCACCTCCCTCTCCCCATCCCCTCCTCAGGAAGCTGTGGAAAGCAATGAGGTTTCCTCTCAGCCTCCTTTTCTCCAAACCAAACAAGCCTGAAGCCCTCAGCCACTCCTTCTAGGACATCCCTTCCAGCCCTCTCACCAGCTTTGCTGCCCTCCTCTGGACACATACATGGACCTTTGCATCCCTCTTAAACTCTGAGGCCCAGAACTGCACACAGGTGAGGCCATACCAAGGCTGAATACAGAGGGATAATCACCTCTCTTGACCAGTTGGTTATACCATGTTGGAAGCACCCCAGGATGCAGTTTGGCCCCTTGGCTGCCAAGGCACATGGCTGACTCATTGATTCTGCTGCCAACCAGCACTATCAGGTGCCTTTCTGCAGGGCTGATCTTCAGCCACACCTCTCCCAATTTATACTTGTGTCCAGTGTCACTCAGTCCCAGGTGCAGAATCTGGTATTTACACATGTTATATTTCATCCCATTAATCACAGTTCAATGCTCCAATCTATCTAGATCCTTCTGCAAGATTTTTTATCAAGCAATCTAACCTATATGCCAGGGAAAAAGACACATTTACCACAAAAGCTCAGTAATTCTTCCCACTAAATTGTGCTACTTTAAATTACATATTTTTGTCTGAATACTGGATTCTAAATAATTAAGCAGAGATTATATTAGTTGTCTCAAAAACAGACAAAATAATGAAAATAGTTAATTTTTGGCAGGCTTGACAACCATGATCTGCTGTGTGTGAGCTGGATGAAGGAAATAATGTATCTTCAGTACATATGTTTCTCCACGTATTTCATTGTTGTATGTTTGATAAGCCTGGCCTGTGCAGTTACTTAACTGAGGTGAACTGAGCTCAGACACAGGCTTCTGAAATGCACCACACAACTGCACACTTTACTATATGCATGTGACAAAGGCATGCCAGCCAGGCACAGCATTGTTTTGGCATAACCAGTTTCCTAAGTCTTGTGTGCACACAAAGCAATGGAGCTCACACCAGCATGGAGCTAAACAATTAGAGGAGCTACAGAGATGAATTTTCTAGGCATTATGAATTTATCAAAAATATCCTGTCACTGTAACCTAAAAGCTCGCAGACATCCCTGCAGAATTTCTGATACCACAAGGAAAAGCCTAAACC